TGATTGTTTGCCGCAACTTGACTTAGATTCCTTCATTGGTGGCGTAAAAACTTTGTTTTGACTTCACAATTCTCATTTATGGAAGAAAAAGGATAAAATTATCTAAGAAAAAACCTAGAAAGAAAAAGGTCCTGTCTTTTGATACATACTTTGAAAGTAAATTAATTTATTTTTTCTAAAGAAATATCTAATGAAATATTAGAAAAATCTCCATGCTGTTTCTGGATATCATTTTGTTGCAGGAAATGGTTTGGATGAATGTATATAATTTCCTTACTTTTACTACAAGAAATTGCTTATGTATTTCCCATCAAAAAATGACATGGAAGTAGCATGACAGCTTTCTTTGTCCCTTTTTCCAAGGGAAACATGTTCTGGCCTCAGTAGTGACGTCTCCTGTAACACGGCTCTGCGGTACTATACAGTCTTGGCTTTGAGTTTTTCGGCCCTCTCTCTCAGGAGGGGGAATCCGGCACTTAAGAAGTCGCCTAGAACTCGGGAAATCAAAGTTTCTTTCCCGCAATTACTCGAGAGACTTGTCATCAAAACTTCCCTTCTCAATATCCTCTTTCCCTCTCATTCATTCTTCACCATGAGAGCCTCGAATTAAGAGATCGACTGTAGGTCATGGCCATTACAATGTCACATGACAGAGTATGACTCAATCACCAACCCCTCGCTCTGCTGAAACCGTGACCAACACGTAACAATCTCCGACATCAGCTTGTAGCATCTCAATGTCCCAACCCGGTAAGGTTACGGTATGTCTTTAGTCAAATAACTGCCTGACTTGATGTTTTAAAGTCACCCTTGAACTCCTGAGTACCGGTCTTGGTGCCTCATGTCATAGCAGCACTGCGGAAAAAGAGTTGGTCTATGAACAAATTACCCGTGATATGGACATGTTGGAGAAATCTATATATGCTCTCAAAAAGCTGCACAATTCACTTTGTATTGTTGAGCGCCTTCCAGAGGAACTATTGGCTACAATATTCAAATGGAGACTTGCAATGGAGCGGGACAGTCGGGATTGTGAATGGCTGAGAGTCAGTCAAGTCTGTACCAAGTGGCGTAGTGTTGCCCTAGACTGCCCAGCCTTATGGTGCTTTTATCGCACGACTAACCTGACGTGGTTAGAGGTATTATTACGCCGCTCTAGAACGTTGCCCCTTTACGTGGGTCAAAACTTGCATGAAGAGAATTCGGGGTGGTTTCCACAGGCGTCATTGTACATCAAACGGACGAGAGATCTTACTTTCGTTGTGCATTGCAACACTCAGTGGAGGAGAATATTCGAGGCTCTGGTCAAACTACAACCTGAAGTTCCTCCACTCCTTGACAGTTTAAATGTTCGTTGGACCGGTTACGATCATGTGCCAACTCTTCCTGACAACCTGTTCACAAGTCCACCTCCACGACTGAGAACACTGACTCTCTTCGGATGCATGATTGATAATAACGCCTCATTGTTGCTCAACCTAACTTCGCTTGCTTTAGAGCAGGTTTATTATCATGGAGAAACTCTACCGCTATCTTTGGCACAGCTTATAGGAATACTCAGGCAGGCACCAAAGCTGGAAAAATTGAAACTTTATCGTGCATGCAAGGTGGAAGATGGGGTTGAAGATATCGAATCACACTCTGCGATTGAGACGGTGCACCTCTCCTGCTTACGACACATCGACCTAGATGGACCCAGGTGCAATGCCATTCTCTCGCAGATTACACACCCAACGCCACTTCCACATATTGTGCTTCAGCTTAGTTCCCTTCCATCAAGAGAACTTGTGCGTTATATGCCCAAATTGTGTTCAACTCTGGTGAACAGAATACGCCCCATCCATCATTTACAAGTTAGAGTCGCCGACAGGATCGAATTACAATACAAATGTTGGGGACAAGAAAACCTCTCCGTCGATCCTGCCCCCTTAATGACACCAGACCTAGAGCTCACTTTGAGAGCCCATGAACTTAACCAAGTAGATCACTCATTCACACAATCCTTGCAGACGATATCGTTGGCGTCCTTGCAAGTTCTAGATATTGCCGTGTCTTCTACCCCTACTACCGTAGGGATATGGCTTGCTTTCGAGGACCTCGAAAATTTGACGACTGTCCGTGTCAAGGACCTAGCCGTCCCTACATTCCTTCAGGCGTTGAAGAAGACATACTCTGTGAAGGCAGATGCTAGTTCAAAATCAAGGTATCACACCAGGCCAAGTTTCAAGTCTCTTCGTATCTTGATTTTGCAAAAATGGTTTTTCAACTCAAGTTCCATGGATGAGTTCTTGACGTGCCTTGCGGCACGCCGTCGGTGTGGGGCAGTACTTCAACAGCTCGAGATTACAGACAGCACATTCTCAGGATCGGATGATACCGACATTGTTGAACAACTCCGGGAAATTGTCAAAGACGTAATTTGGGACGTCAAAATCTAAACAGAACCTCCTGCTGAGAGCAACCCAAACCTCAATTCAAACGAGGTCGAGAGGCGTTCACTCGAAGACCTACAATTTGTGATAGACGAAGACGACAATTAGTCGCCAGGCAGCTTTGTTTGTATCTTCATTCGCGATGAAAACTCTATGGCGAGAGATCATTAGGAGAGCAGTGGAGCATTATGTTTCCCCATTGCACAAATTCGGTGTTGGTATTTCCGTGTTTATTACTGTCACAATCCAAATGACGGCTGGCACTAACCAGTCACTAAGTCTCAACAAATAACCTGATCTGGGTGTGTATTGATGTGTGTTCAATTTTGAGCGGACAAAGTGGCACAATTAGTATTTATCAGTCGACAGCTAATAAAAGTAAAATAACAATCAAAAAACATCCCATTTGGACACACCCGGAATTGAACCGGGCACCGCCCGCAGTGATTCAAATCTTGGCAGATTCAAATGCTAAGCGGGCGTGATAACCAACTACACCATGTGCCCTCGAAAAGCACACCCAACCTCACAACCTCAATCCGAACCGAGTCCCACACAAATCCCTCTTCTTGAACGCACTCAGAAAAACCTCGTTACAGAAACTACAGTAGCCTATAACCAAAAAACAAAAAACAAAAAAAAAGAAACAAAGCAATTCAACCCCACATCACCTCGAGCCAAGCTCCTGCCCCTCAGGACCCCACTTCCACCTCCTAACCTGCACGATCCACTCCGTCCTCGCGCCCACATCCACCTCCTCGCTCTCCGTGTCCGTCACATACACGCCCTCCTTCGCGAACCTAAACAGGTCCTCCCCGAGGTTGCGCTGCAGCGTCTGCAGCAGCAGCTGCTTCGGCTTGTCGTCGGCCTCGAGCGGTGGCGTCGGGTGGTGGTCCGCCGTCCCGTCGTCGTTGTCGTTGTCGTTGTCGTCGTTGAGGGTGTCGCTGCCATTGCCACTTTCGTACGGAAGCTGTTGCTCTGTTGTGTCTATGGGCCTCGTCGTCGTCGTCTTTAGATTGTCGCCGAGCGCCGTCTTGTCCTGTAGCGGTAAGAACAACGACTTGTTATTACCGGGCACAGCAGCCTCCGAAACGACGGGCGCAGACACCGCCGCCGCCGTCGCCGCAGGGGGCACCGGTGCGCCAGGAAGCTGCTCAAGCACCGCAGACGCAGCCTCCAGCACGACCTCCTCAACCTCGACATCAAGCACGAGCGAGACATCATACTCGACAAACAGCGTGCCAATGCACGGCGAGAGGAGGTAGCGCTCCTTCGCGGTCTCGAGTATGACCGAGCGCACGGGGGGCAGCGCCGCGTCGATGTTGAGCGCAGGGTCCACCGCGCGCGGGTCGATCTTGCGCTTCTTCCGCGGCGGCGGGTGCACGAACGGCGACACGCTCGGCGGGAACAACACGTCGCGCAGCACCTCGGGGTCGAACTTGAACCTGCCGCCACAATGCAGACAGCATTAGCATTCGCACGACGCGAGGCGAGGCCAGGGGAATGGCACGTACCCGGGCTGGACGTCCCCCGCGGGCCCGACGCCAAATGTCACGGTCTGCACGCTCATCTGCGCGTCTTCCTCCGGATCGCGATGGTACGTCGCGCTGTTGACGTCGTCGGCGGCGGCGGTGGCTTCGGGATGCTCGGTGATGGGCTCGAGCGCTGTTGCGTTGGGCAGCCGCCGGCGGTGGTGCGTCGGCCAATCCCAGCCTCGCCGCCGCTTGCGGGTCGCGACGCGCGGAGACACCGTGCACTCGGACGGCGACGTCGGCAGCCCAACGACGTGCGCGCGCCGCTCATGGTACTCTGCCAGCCGCTGCTTCCGGCTCCGCAGCCCCCTCAGCGCCGTCGACTTGCCCTTCTTCCAACCGCCACAAGTCAGCCGCGAGAAAAAGAAAAAAGGCGCAAACGCCAGCCTCACCTCGACAAACTCGAATCCCACAATCTCGATCGCGCTCCCATCGTGCCCGGCTCCCCACCCCGCACTAACCAGCCCCCGCCCGTCGTCCTCCTCTCCCCCATCCGCATGCGCCTGCTGTCCCTGTCCCTCGCCCTCCCCGCCCTCGCCCTCCCTAACACACCGCTCCCCAAACCCGCCCAAAAACCTCCCAACAACCTCCTCCCTCCCACTCCCTAAAACTTCATCAACCCCACCCGCCCCAACGCACCTCACAACCCTCACCTCGACCCGCGCGTCCCGCCCCGCCTCCCGCGCGCGCCGCGCACCGCTCCACGTAACCCACCCCGCGTGCACAGCGCACAAGAACACGTCCGAGTCGTCCGTGTAGATCCGTCGGCGACGCGCGCCGCCCAGGCGCCCGGGCGCGCCCCCGCCCCCGCCCCAGATGCGCAGCGGCCGCGCGGGCCGCGCTCGCGGGACGTGTGCGTTGGGGATGAGGATCGTCAGCCGCGTCTCCGTGTCGACGGTGTATGGGGACGGCTCGCCGGGCGTGGGTGACTCAGAGTCCGGTTTTTCCTTTTCCTTTTCCTTGTCCTTGTCCTTGGTAGCGTCGGCCGTCGAAGGCCGCGCATCTCCCTGCGCCTGCGGCGGCACCGCGTCGGCGTCCTCCTTCTCGCCGGCAGCGACCTTTGCTTCGTCGTTCTTTTCCTCCTCCACAGGTCCCGGCCCCACATCAAAGAAATAAGGAAACGGCACGTCAGGCCATACAAACGTCCCGAGGTGCACACAGACCTTCGCTCTGACCTGTTCCTCCCTCGGCTCCTCGACCTGTATCGGGAGCGGGACGGGGAGCGGCATCGGGAGCGGCATCGGGATCGGGGCGGGCTGCGGCGCACCGGCTCGCCTCGCGCGGTCGCGCTGGACACTCCAGTCCCAGCCGCCGCCGGGGATGGGCACGGGGCGGTCCTCGTAGTAGACTTCGCCCTCGGGCGGTGGCGGAGGAGGAGGCGGAGGCGCTGGGTAGCCCATCCGCTCGTACGCGTACGCGGCCGGGTTCGGGTTCATGTTCATGTTCGCAACGTTTGGGTTGGGGTACTCTGGGCCGGGGCCGGGGCCTGCTGCTGGGTGGAGAGGCGGCGGCGGCGGCGGCGGTGGTGGTGGGACGCCGGGACCGTGGGCGTGGGCGGGCCACCAGGGTGCGCGGTTGGCAATGTCGAGCTCGCGCTCGATCTCGTCTTGGGTTTTTGAGCGCTTGGAGGGGGGAGGCGCAGGCGGCTCGGCACGCTGGGCTTCTCGCTCTCGTTCTCGTTCTCGTTCGCGTTCGCGCTCTCTTTCTCGTTCTCTTTCCCGCTCCCGCTCCCGCTCTTTCTCTCTCTCCCTTTCCTTTTCCTTTTCTCTTTCCCTCTCCTTTTCTCTTTCACGCTCCCTCTGCTCCCTCTCCCTCTCTCTGCCCTCTCTCGGAGCAGGCGAGCCGATTCTGCTGCCGGGGCCCGCAGAGGTGGTGACAAACTGTGTGTGAAACTTGTTCTGGTTAGCATACTGCTTCTGTACATATGGCGGTGCGAGGGCGAGGATGGGCAGCTCCTGGCGCGGGGGCAGGCCAGGGCCGACGATGGGTTGCGGGGCCGGGGCATACGGGGGCTGGGGCTTGATGTGGTGGGGGATGGGGGGCGGGGGCACGTGGCTCCTCTTGTTGTAGTAGCCGTCGCGCTCTCTGGGCCACTCGCGGTCGCGGTCGCGGTCACGGGACCTGTCGTCGGGGTAGGGCATGAGGGCGGGGCCGCGGGGCGAGGCGAGTGCGGGGTTGGAGGCGACGGGCGGGATGGGCGGCACACGGGTCGATGCGGGGGTCTGCGTCCGCGAGTGCGTCTCCCCCGGCCCCCAGACACCGCCCGCACTGCCACCGTCCAGGGGCCGCAGCGACGCCATCGCGGGCGACGGCGGCGGCAGGCGGTGGTGCGTGCTGGGCGACGGCGCGGGCGGCGGCGGCGGCGGGGCG